AGGTGGGAAGAAAAAAGACACATTAAACCTTTCTGTCACATGGAGGTGCATCAGCCCAGAGGATAAGAGCACCAGCATAGCTCATCACGCGGACTGAAGGACATGAGGTGGCTGGAGTGGGAGCCACATGCCGGAGGTGTGCGGGAGCATGGTGGAGCGTGTGCATGGGGCGGCTTCGCTCCTCGTGTGCCTGCGAGTGAGGTGGGGTGGCACGGGGGTCAAGGTTTCTCCATCACTAGTGCCTCCTGGCATGCCACACAGCCTGTGGGTCCAGGAACCAGTCAGGAACAGAGCGTGAAGCCACATAGATTGTGCCGGCTATGAAACGTCCAGACAGCAAAGATGTCTGTATTTTTCAGACAATACATATAATACACAGTGGCAGACATTCGTTTGACTGAGCAAGTAGATGTAACAAAGCTTCAATTTGTATTATTTCTGAACCAATAAGGCATATAGCAATTGGACCTTTATGTGCACTACAGGCTGTATGCCAAAGTACATTTGTATGTTTAAAAATTAATGTGATCAGGAAGATGGTGGGAGATTAAAAAATGATGAATTGAGAGACAGAAATTCTACGTCCATATATGCAAAGGTGTCAGGGTGAGAAACATTGCTTCGTTCAGGCTTCAGGTGAAGTTTGAGGTGTGACAAATCTGACTCCTCTTGTGATCAGAGGAACACGTTGTTGCCATTGCTCTGGATCCTGTCTCTATCGATGACCAGACCAGATGTTCCGGGTTTAAAGCAAGCTACAGACAATTAAATTGCTGTGCAAGGCGCTGGCAGCACCAGCTTTCAGTAATTCCCCGTCTTTGTGTGGATGTGATGTGATGGGAGTGGAAAGCAAAAGCAGAAACTTAATATGACCCTTGCCACAGGCATCTTGGACAAAGCACTCTTGGCCTCTGGACAAACGCAGGCCTTGATCCTGCAGAAGCCAATTAGTTTTATACACACAAATAGTCCCACTGTGGCATAAAGCGTGCAGAAGTTTATTGGAAGATGCCCCGAGAAGGGAAGTGGGAGTGAAGCAAGCTGGAGGAATGACTAATAAGAATTAGAGGGGAGTCAAGCACAGGGTAGCAGAAGTTCAGCCACTTGGCTGATGCGTAAGGTGGGTGGGTTACAGCTGGAGCATCACATCAAATACAACAACAGGAAGAGCCGGGTGATGGCAACCACAGGAAAGAAGACCACCAGGAAGACCAAAAAGTGGAATGATCCTTTAATACCACTGAGCAGGGTGAGAAAGGAAAGGAGAAGAGGGTACACAATGTGATGAATGCAATTACTCACATCTCTGACTCAGGACTGAATGGGTGTTACTACTTAATGCTTTTTTTGTGATTGTATTTTAGTTATTTTATAAGTAACCTAGCCCAAAAGGAACGTGCCATGAAGCCCTTGGGAAAGCAGAGGTTACTAAGCCAAAAGAGATTAAGTGGAGAGTTTGCAAATGAGTGAACACAAAGAATGTGTAAATGTAAACATCTGAGGAATTATTAGTATGTGAGCAATCATCTTAGGCGAGAGGGGCATGGTTGCAAATATGAATGAACGGACGTGTACCACAACCTTTAAATCTCATAGTAACAGGCCAGAGGACCATGTAAGAGCAAATGAAGAGGGCAAGCCAGATGAATCCTGTCCAACCTGCCTATGACAACTTTGGAGGGATGCGTGTTTAATGCAGAGTTTCCCGAGCTCCTCAAGTTTTGCCTGAGACCGTGCCCAGCCACATCCCTGCCTCTGCTGCTCTGAGTACCCGCTCTTCTGAACCTAATGGCCACATAATATAAACTCCATGAACTTGGATGTGAACTGCAACCTTGCCTAAAAAGAGAAGGCGGCTCATGATCTTGGTGGACCCCCAAGAGGCAGGTTAGAAACCAGGCAACAAAACCCATTTCAGCCTTGCCTGTGCTGTAGTATTTCCCGTCTGGCAGGTAGGATCGCGGCTCCCCAGAGCACAGCCCAGCCATTAGCTTGGCACAGCAAGCCCCACGCCGGGAACGGGTACCTCACCTTTAGAGGAGCCTCGTAAGACATGTCCCTCTGCTGAGCGCCCACCTCTGGGGCCCCTAACAGCAAATGTACTTCTCAGGCACATGCCTATGGTCCTGGGACAAAAAAAAAAAAAAAAAAGACTACTTGCATGCAAAGCTTTTACAAATTTGGTCACTGTGACCAAACTTTATTACCCATTTTATGGAACTGTGACAAAAGTCTAGGAATCAAACAACATGGGGATCACAGAGGCTATTATGTTTATTGTGCTGAACAGACTGTGATAAACCATTAAAGGAACATTTTCAACAAGCAAGCGATTCGAAGTACAATCATAGACAGCAACTCTACACAAAGAACAAAGCAAAAAGTTAGAAGACACTCAAAAGAAAAAGTAAACTGTAGTTAAACATCTTGAAGCGTTTGTGGTTTTTTTTCCTGCAAACACACCTCTCTTGCAGAAATGGTAGAAGAGTTAAATGTCCAGTCTTAGTTAGCAGTGACCAATGACAGCAAAGAACAGTCGTATAAAATTTATCTCCCACAAAAATAAACTATATATATAAAAAATTTTATGATGTTCTCACTGATTCAATGGCCACGTGCAATTTTTCAGTCTGAAAAAATGAGGTATAGTAGGCCCTAAGAGGTAGTAATGTGTTTTGATTGTACTACAATATATAGAAAATACAAGATTCAGTTCAGAGTGGTAAGTCTCTTGGAGGTTGAAGCGTGACACACACCCAGCAATTATTTCTGTCATCCACTGAATACCGTGGTTTTAAAAAACGCAAAAAAAACCCAAACCCAACCCCCAAAAGGGACTTGCTAAGGCTTGATTCGATGCCCTTTGAAGTCAGCAGAATTCCTTCTACTGCCTTTAAGCGACACTGGGTTTGGCCTATTAGAGCTACTGTATAGCTAGGATTATTCCTCTTCCACTTAGTATTAACGTGTCTAGTTGTAATACTCCGATCAGCTCTTTCTCAGCGATTTCCGTCACTGAACCCTCTGCGGGCTTGCGAGGAGGTCCGCATTTCTTGACACTGCCTCTTGGAAGAAGCCAGTAAGTAGTTATCTGTAACTGCCTTTGGCTCGGTACTAAAGCCATACCAACAGACGCCTTCCTGAGAAACTACCCCTGGCCCAGTTATTAATACAATGGTACAAAGTACTGACTAGGAAAGAGAGGAAGAAGGGAAACAAAACAGAAATAGAGAAAATGCAATAGGATGGGAGAGAGAGACAGAATAACAAAAGTGAGAGAGAGGAGAATAAAAAACCTCTACATAAGAAGCATTTAAAATAAATCTGGCTGAAACATATTACAAAATCACATTTGTGTAAAATACATGAAAATACTTGTCAAGTATTTTCGTACAATCTACTAATTATTTTTTTAAACACATATTTGTGATTGCATTATGCAAAAGCTGAGCTTGTTGCTTCCCACCTACAAAGCTTCAAGTTTCTTTGAAGGTTTTTTTTTGTTCGTTTTTTTTTTTTTTTAATACGAAAGTAATTTAAAATGTGTTCATTTTCCACAAGTTATTTTACAAAAATAGTTTTGAATTAGGGATTAGTTGCAGTCCTAACTGTTTCAAACGTCTCAAAACTAATGCTGAAAGTAATAAGTTCATTCCATTTAAAGTCTGGAGGTAGGTCTTTGTCAATCAATTAGTCCATTTCTTTAAACAATTCATTTGAGGTACAAACTTGGACAGTAATATTTAAACATTACAGCTAAATTTTTTTCTATGTCATGTAGTGTCATTGAAGAAAATTATCCTCACAAACCTATCAGCAATTCAGTACAAAAATATATTCAAGTTAACAGTACATTACACAGAAGTCTAGCAGAGAATAGGGTAAGTACGTTAAAAAAAAAACAAAACAAAAACAACAAACCACAAGAAAGAAAAATACATAGTCATGCCGAAACACAATAAAGATATTGCTTCCTTAACTGCAATTAAGTGTTGAAGTAGAAATAAGGGGAAAATACAGATACTCATGATTATCTACCCAATAAAAATTTCCTGCATTTAATGTGTATAGCAGCATGTATTTATCAGTCTGTTGAGTTAATTGTAAAAATCAGAGGTAGTATTGAATAGTGGGGTAATATTGCATCTGGTGCTAAAAGTGCTGCTTCGAATGAAAAGATGGAGAAATGCCACTGGCACAGAGGTGTCCAGTGAACCACCCTATGTCAAAATACATCGCTTAAAATAATGCACAAGCGTAGCTGAGGTACGTGGTACTGGTTCTTACATCATGACTGATGAGTAATGAGAAGAGATTCAGTTCTTTTGAAATACTGGTATAAGTGGAATTAGTCGAAACTAGCAAAACATATGGATTATTTTTGTTCAGATAAACTCATGATTAATTCTGAGGTACCTTTCTATATGTTTTAAAACACGTTTCTCGCTAAAGACTTGGTCATTAATGGCATAAGAGTGTTTGGTGTCAGTCATTTTTGTTTCCATAGAAAACACCTGGCTCTACAGAAAGCCGACTCCACCTGGCTTCCTATTGTCCAGAAGATGAGGGCTGTTCGTTTTATTTACTACTACTTCTGCTGATATGTTTGTATCTATAACTATACAACGTATCTTTGTCTTTCTTCCCTTTTTGCAAAATGAAAGTACCTTTTTTGTGTTGATTTCTTTCTTCCGATTACCAGCTGAATGAAGTGAAAGATCAGCTTTCAGTTTTTTTCCTGAAATAACAGTAAGTCTTAAAAAAAAAATAAATCAAGTACAAGTCTACAAGAAGGTTACAAAAAAAAAAAAAAAAAAAAAAAGAGTAGTGTCTATCCCTTATCTTTGGTGTTCTAAAACAGGGAGTTCACTAAGTAGGGAGTGGGTTGCTGGAAGTGTTGCAAGGCTTTAGTGTTACACACCCAGCCTTTCCTATTTCAATGCCCATTATAATCACTATGTTACAAGTTTCTTGTTTATATGCAGTGCAGTGAATGACACAAACCTGATTTGGAGCTCTTCTTGACCCATTCACCCTTACTTAGCAGCTCAAACAAACTATTAGTAGGTTAAGAAAAAAGAAAACAGTAATTAAAAGTTGCATCGTTAATCTGTGTCCCCTTTGTGTTACAGCAGTTTTTCACTAAACCTGGGACTGTGAAGGGATTACAAAGAAGATGATTAGTCAAATCCTTTTTAAGGTTATGCGATATTTTTTTCCCCCAGGCAAAAGTGGAAAGACCATGGCAATAGAAAATAAGTGGTCAAGGCAGTGTCTTCTCCCTTCAAAAGACCCAACTGCTGATGAGGTAGAAATTGCATGGTGCGGTCTCCTAGTCTTCCTCTGCAGACTCTTGTGAGGACGTTTCTTCAGTCTCTTCCTAGAATACACAAACAGAAAAAATAAATACTGTGGTGACTGTGTGTCTTAGGCTGCCACCTCACTCTTCTCTCATGCGGCTGACAATTACCTCCTGAGCTAACAAAATGCCCTTTACAGCTCCTGTGACATCTCAAGAAGCCACCTTGGGGAGGAGGGGAAGGTCTCCTGCCCTCCACTCATAGAACCACAGAATCATTTAAGCTGGAAAAGACCCTTAAGATCATTGAGTCCAACCACCCCACTTTGGTTTGTGAGGCTTTCCTCCCACCCCAGGGGGTGCCACAAAAAAGCAATTTGTGCCATGCTCTGTCGTGGCCCTCTTATGGCCAGCAGACATGGGCCCCTAGAAAATGGAAAGCATTTTGAGCAGGTACCCAATGTTAAGTGGGTGCTCTGGGAAGCATTCTCCTCTGCATCCTCTGCAGCACACCGCTGCCTTCATGTTTGACTTCAGCAAGCCCACCCGAATGCGATGCTCTTACACTGCTTATTTAACAAATGTGCAGGACCTTTCAGGACATGGGCAGTAAACTGGGGGCAATAAACATTTCTGATAAAAGAGGCCGTCAGTGAAAAGTCATTTTTTATCAAATGCTGCACATCATCGCCTGAGACAGCACGTGAAAAAGATCTAGGAAGAACAAGAATTTACCCCCTCAGTCAACTAAGACCTTTTAAGAATGACCAGCTTAAAACAGCTTATAACAGTCTTCATACTTTAATAGATTTGATTTTCCACATGGCTTCATTTTGTCTGGGTGGCTAACTGACACAATTTATAACTCTCTTCCTTTCCCAGGCCACTACAGTACACCATTCAGCAAAGCATGCCTCAAAGCTTGCCTGCGTTATATGACCAAACTTCCATTCATTAGTGTTTGAAACACCTCAGCTGTGAAGGGCTCCTAAATGCTACCATGTGTGACACTGCTGCAGAGGAGCGGCATCAAGGAAAAACACTGGGCTTTAATCATAGGCCACTGCTCTCACTGCAATCCTCTTTCAAAAGTTTCAACCCCACCCCCCCACCTCCACCACCACCTCCCTGCAAGAAAAGGCTGAAAAAAAAACCAACCCAAAAAACTGTAAATCCAGGGAATAAACATAAGTATAAATGAATGGATGACAGCTTAAAAAATATAACCATAGCAGCATCAAGCCATGAGATTTCACACTGGTTTTGTTTAGTCTGCTTTGGGTTATGTGGGAAATGTGAAAAGCATGAAGCAAATGCTCCCCCCTCTCCCTTCGTACTCCCACCCCCCGCTAAAGCTCGGGCCTCAGATATTTAAGCCAGTAGATTTTTACCTCTTGACTAGGAAACAGGCCATGACCCTCTCGAGCACCAGGCACAAAGAAAGATGTAGCATGATCAAAGCCATGGATGGAGGAAAGAGAGCAAAGTCAAGTGTCAGCTGCCCTCTGACCTTGACTTTTCCATTAATATTTAAATTCCAGAAGACACCGATCTATCATGCAGATGAACAATTTCTTCCTCGCAACAACTCGTGTCCACTTGTAGCAGGGTTATATTCACAGTGCTGCTAGGAAAATGATTCCCGACTCACAAAACAAACAAATTTTACCACATCCCTGGCGGCACTGGGGGACCTGCGCTCAAACTCCACCAAATCCCATTAATGTGTAATGCGTTTTCCCTGCTTATCTTCCCAACAGAACGGGACTGTGACTGTTAGAACATTTCAGTCAAGAAGAAAAACAGTATCTACAGGCACCTAATGAAGGGCTAATTTGGGCCGTGCGTGGAGAGACCGTGCAAAATATGTTGGTAATTCAGGACTTGGGATGATCAAGGCAAACACGGGCTTTGCCTCCAAGCCAGGTATTTCAGTTAAAAATTAGGACTTTGGGTTCTGTGCTCTTAACGTAATACAGGTAGACATGTTTCGGTATTTGACGATGATCATGTGCTTAATTCCTTACAGCACCGCAGCCAGCCCGAAGCCTCTCATCATCATTTCCCAGAAGATGGCCGGTCACGCGTGGACACGGAGCCGCAGCTCACTTTGTTTTACACTTGGCTTGTCAGGAGACTACTGAAACCTGATGGACTCATTTTCCATGAAGGTGCACTTCCGATCACAGAACAAAGACGGGTGAAAGTATGTGGTAGGACATACATCAGAGCCCAGCCAGGGTAGCCACAGAGAGCCCTTTTTAGTAAAAGAGTTGTCCACTCTAGTGATTTTTATTGTGAATCTCACAGTATTTTTTTTTCCTTGTAGCCCTTGCTGCAGTGACCAAGAAAATGAATGAGAAGCTCTTCCTTCATCTATATGTGTATGTTCATGTAATGAAGGATTAGTTTCTCTCATCTGCATACGTACATGCAAATGTGTGTATCTGTAGTACCCAGAAGGATGAGAAACCAAAAATCAAGCTAAACCCTCCCAAATATTTAAATAACAAACTAATTATTAAAAAATATTTGAGACTGGCAGACTTCAAATTCACATCAGTCTTGGGAAAGACTTTTTTTCATGAAGAAAAGTTGGGAAAGGGATCAGACTGTTGTGCAGCAAAAAGAAAACTTTCCTTCATTAAGTTCATTCCTTGCAAAAGCCTAGGACAGCTCAGTTACAGACGGGTGGTTTTAAGCCAACCTATCATGTAAGTCCCTTGTCAAGACACAGATGGAGACATGATTGCTGCTCTGAAGTGCTTACAATTCAAACAAAGGGATAATACTAATCAGACATATATGCATGGAGGGACCCAAAGGAAGAAGCGAGTAAAGGTTCTGAAAGAGAAAATGCAGATGTGTACGACAGGAACAGAGAGGGATTTTTTGCACCGGTGAAAAACTGGTTGCAAATATTGGAAGGTTGTGCAGCTGTGATGCTCAACCCACCCTTTGCCTCTACAGCACTCACACGTACCCACACTTTTCCCTATAAGAGGGAGGGGGGCAGGCGTTTTGAACACTGTGCACCCCCTAGAAGTTGCAAACCAGCTCTGCACTGAGTCTGTTCAGCCAGAGGGTCACTAAAGTGCAGCGTGCCATGTCAGGGCACTGAGTACCTCAGGGAAAGGATGCTTTGCCATCAGTTAGCACCTTCCAGGCACTTACAAGTCCTCACAGACCCAAGATCGATGGCATAGCCACGTATCATAGGATCAGTCCCTGAGTCAAAAGTCGAAGGAGGAACTGGGGCTGGAGTGAAACACTTCGAAAGTCCAGATGTGCTTCCGATCAAGTTGAAGAGAAGGGCAAAAATCAAGGAGAGCGTGGTCATTAGAGCAGGCATTGGAAATCCAAGTCACTCAGTCACAGCGTGATAGCCATGCAGAGCATAAATTCAGCAACACCACCACAGGAAGGGCTCAGTCAAGAAGCAAAGGTTTCAGGTTACATGGCAGCCTTAATTCAGGTTGTTCTCACTTTTTAGGTGCATTCACTGCAGTTGTGGAGACAGAATGGTGACATGTGTTAATTGAGCGTAAATGTTCCTCGACCTAGTTTTGCCTTGAACAGCTACTCCCCTGGTTATTTGTTTTCTGCTGCAGCAAGCTTGCAAAAGGCTGGGCTCGCAGATGGCAAGGAGAAACCTGAGAAAGCTTCAAACTAACCAGGTCGGATCCGGCTAACAGGGAAGCTGCAGCCAGGCAGACCTCAGGCTGAACAGGACACGCACCTGATGGGCAGAGTAAATACACACACGCAGAGCTCAGGCTTTACTCCCTGCTGCTAAGACAATATCCCAGGTGGCTCCCTGCAGATCCGTGAGCCTTGCGTGGATGTATCCTCAGGGCCTGAGTGACTCGGGGATGCACCACAGAGGCATTTTTACATGGCACGTCCTGTCCTTCGTTGTCCCACACGTAGGCACATTAATCCTGAGCTGCTACGGGTCACTGCATGATACTGTAAGACAAACTGCAAGCCAGCATCCTGTGTTGTTTCCACCCTTAATTGCTACAACTGCCTCACCCAGCCAGGAGTGATGTGGAGCTGCTGTCTCTCCAAAAAGAAAAAGCAGCAAGAAGGCTTTCTCCAAATCTCCTATCTGCACAAACGTATAGCAGGTCTTTTCATGAGAAGTATCACCGGCAAGCGGCTGGAAGATGTGTACACTGGACTGGAACCCAGCAGTGCCGTCCCCTCTCACGGGTGTTGGGTTCCAGCAGGAGAGAAAGGATAGATGTTTCCCAGTGGCTCACAGAAGGTATCTGCCCTGAGAAGGGCTACTCCGTGGGGGCTGGCAACGCTGTTGTTAGCCCTGATTTAACAGCAGTGAAGGTAACAAAACGGACCAGGAGGCAGGACAGCAGGCTTCAGTTGCAAGTGCTGTCTGCAGCCAATATGGCTATTTGGGCTTGCCCAACACACGATTTCAAAATATGACATCCTTAGTGGGATCTGGTTGCCTGAAGATAGGAGCTCAGAGCTGTTTTAGGTGCCCTGGATATCTCATCTGGTACCCAGCAGCCAGGCCAGACGGGTGCTGGTCTCCTGTGTCACACCTGCCTGCTCTGTGTGGATGTCTGTGATCTCCTGGGACACCTAAAAGGGCACAGAACAGCCGTGTCAAGATGCACGGATCCACTAACCCTCTCCAGAGCTATGATGTTGCATTTCTGCTTTTGAAGGTTCTCCACTGTGGAAAAACAAACCGGTGTGTACTGTAGGAATATGTGAAGTGACAACCACTAGCATGTGCACCTCATTCCTAAAGCTCAGTGGTGGCACCATCCAGAATGGAGCTCTGCAATGAATGACCGTTTTTAAACAGCAGGGTCTTTTCAGGGCAGTCACCCCTGTGTTCTCAAGACACTTCTTTCCCATGAAATCCTGCATGGGTGAAATGTAGCTCTACTTGCTGCCCAAGACCTCCATTTGGTGATCCACATTTGGTTGGCGTGGGGAATTTTTCTGGCAGTACAAGCAGCCAGTAGCATCCTGGTGTCCTTAAAAACAGACAAGCTTAGATCCATCTTTGTATGTCCTCTGCATTCCTTTACTCGGTGGACACCCAC